CAGGATGGATTCTCTAATTATGACAGTAAAACTAGAAATTATTAACCAAGTTTAAATGAAAAATCCCTCCTAACTTATAAATTAAAAACAAAAGTCTGTTGAAGCAAAAAGGAAGTCAAGCTGGTATTTGTAGAACATTGAGAAAAAAATAGTAGTTGAAGAATGTAAACAAACAAAACTTCCCTCCTCACAAAAGTTAAAAAATAACCAGAGGGAGGAAATGGGAAGAGAGCTGTTATATCATGGGTACTTCAGTCAATGTCATGGAACAAAATAAAACAAAAAATAATGACTTTGGAAACAATTGGGTCAAAGAAGCATTAAGTCATAATATAACCCAAACTATATATTAATAACTGCCAATGCTTTTCTAATTTCATATGAATGAAAGAAAATATAAGAATTAATGTCAACTCAGACATTAAAAATAATCTTTTAGATCACCCTTGTAATGTGTTATGGGTCCGTTTTTCCTGGAATAGTTTAAACTGAAGCAGTTTACCCTGTTTTGGAGATTTTGTAGTTAATTTTAATTTTGGCTATTGTTTGGAAAAGATGGGCTGTCTGCATAGATATGAAGTATAGTTTTTCCATAAAACAGATGTTTATTTTGTATTAAAATACCACTGTACTTGTTTTACACCATTTGTATACATGTGGTGATATTAATGCTGAACTGTAAAATTCAAGAATTAAAATGTGACCCTGTTAAAAAAAATATATATGTATAAATAAATAAATATATTTTTTTAAAAAGTAAGAAGAAAGAAACAATAGCTTAAACAAAAATTAATAAATTAGGAAATGAAAGCACAAAAAATCATTAAATTTGAGAACTGGCTCTGTAAAGAAAACTGATAAAAATAAATAAATTTACAGTAAAAATAAATGAAAAATAATACATATGAACAAAATTAGAATAAGAAGATATTAAAAGAGTTGCTGAGGGCACTAACAATTTAAAGAAAGCATTATCCAATACTCTAAGCTAATGTTTGACAATCACAATGAAATAGAATTCTCTGGGCAAAATCATACATTAGTTTTTAAAAAACAGTTTAAAGAGGATAACCTAAATCAGTCATTAAAGTATTATTCTTTCAAAGGAAGGATTTGAATGAGATGTCTTTACTAATGGATTCTTGCAAGTTCTTAGGGAATAAAGAATTCATATCTATAAAAGCTTATTCCAAGTTGGGGGGAAAAAAAAGTCAAAAGTCAATCTAACATGCAAATCTAACAAAACACTACACAAAAAACTTTAGACCAATCATGAAAAATAGATGCTATAAACTATAAAAATCAGTTGGGTATAATTCACCACAAATAAGTAGATTTGCTCAAGAATACAAGGTTGTTTTCATAGTTAAAAATTTGTTATTAATATGATACAGTGTAGCAGTAGGTCAAAGAACCAAAAGAGTATAATCATCTTAGTAGATGATGGAAAGACATTTGATGAAATACATCTCCTATTCTTGATTTTGAAAAATATTCTTGATTAACTAGAAATAGAAGGGTATTTTCTTTATGTAATATAGCCTACCTTGAACTAATATTTAATACCATATTTCCAATAGAATATTTTATTGTTGTTGTTGTTATGTGCCATCAAGTCGGACCTGACTCCTAGTGACCCTTCCTTGGGTTTCCGAGGTGGTATCACTACAGAAGTAGTTCCTCTTTTCATTCTCAAAATTGTCCTTGTGTGGTCAATAATGATAGGACTTCTCTGGCTTGAGGGTCTTAATAGTAACTTCAAAAACATTTGATTTTTTGTTTGTTTAAAATTTTATGAAAATCTACTTAGAGCAATATGTTGAGGGAAGTAAATAAAGCCTTGGGATCACCTACTATAAGTGATATGCCTTTTATATAAAATAATTCATTCAATTCTCTCCACATGTCTTGTAAGTATGCTATACTTTTATTTTACAGAAGAGGAACTAGGGGCGTAAAATGGCTAAAGCAACTTGCCCAATGTTATAAAGCTATTAAGAGGTCAACTTGTATTTGAGTTGATGAGAAAGCCTTTTAAAAAATATCATGAGGACTTCCAGTAAGATGGAGGAATAGGCAGACAAGCAACACAGACCCTCTTCAACAAAGAAAAGAAAAAACAATTGACAGAGATACAGAATTAATCCTGGAACCCTGAGCTTTTAAAGGAAATATACAGAAGTGGATTAGGCACCAACTAGTGGAAAAACTTGAATGAAAATAATGAGTACAGAGATGGTCAGAGATGCAGACTATCAGCTACTCCAATGGGACCAACAGTCTGAATAGTTGCAAGTGGTGTTGGGACCTGAGAATTGACCTAAAAAAGATCAGCCCTGGTCACCAAGGGCTGCAGGGACAACTGCACTGGTGGCCTATGACTAGGAATGGAAACAGCAAGGTGGGAGACAACCTGTGCTGTTGACTTTCCGCTGTCTGGAGGGTGCAGCCATTTTGATTGTTTACACATGACAGCCATTTTGGATATTTAAAGTGACAGAGAGGACAGCCATATTTGACATTTAAAGTGACTGAGGGCACAGCAATTTTGATTGTTTGTAAGTGTCAGCCATTTTGGATATTTAAAGTAACCGAGGGTGCAGTCATTTTGAATCTTTACAAGTGGCAACCATTTTGGATTTTAAAGTGACAGCATCCTTATTCGGATTCCAAGGCCCTAAAAATAAGCTCTGTTTGCCAAGGTCGGCAGGCACATACAGGAGGCTGACAACAGAAAAGGAGACAGGTGGTGAGTGTATAAGTGCTGCCCACTAGCAAATAGAGAAGCATGGCACAGTACCCTGCTTGTGTAGAAAACATACAAACAAAACAAAGAAAGCAAAAATCATGGGCAAGACACTCCGACATACAATCACCAATTAAATATAAACATAAAAACATCACAATGCCTTGGATACAACAGAGCATCACAGTCCACACAAAGATGCAAGATAAAGCAGGAGAAACAAGGGACGAGGATATGGACCCAAAACACATCCCTGAGGAAGACACAGCACTGGAACTCCCTGAATTATATTTAGGTGTCTTCAAAAAATTGAGAGGCAGATTGAGGACAACACAGGGAAAACCCTAGACCAATTTCAAAAGACAATACAAGAACAAAATGACAAAATAAATGAAAAATTAGAAATGATACAAAATCTACACACAGAAATCAAGAAGATTAACACTAAATTTTCAGAAATAGATAAAACATTGAATGTACAAGGAGAATTGAATCAAAGGAAGACAGAATTAGGGAGATTGAAGGCAAATACCTAGACACTTCTTTGGAAAGGGATAAATCAGAAAAATGATCAAAACAAAATGAAGAAAGCCTAAGGTTCATGTGGGATGCCATCAAAAGGAATAACTTATGTGTAATCAGAATTCGAGAACAGGAAGAGAAACATAAAACCACAGAGAAAATTGTCAAAAGATTTGTTTGGAGAGAATATTCCTGGTATGATGAAAAATGAGAATATATCCATTCAGGAAGTCCAATGAACCCCAAACAGGATAGACTTCAAAAGAAAATCACCAAGACATATCATCATCAACCTTACCAAAACCAAAGACAAAGAAAGAATTATGAAAGCAGCATGGGAAAAACGTAAAGATACCTACAAGGGGCAACCAATAAGACTAAGCTCGGATTCCTCTACAGAAACTATGCAGGTGAGAAGACAATGGGATGGTATATATAAAACACTGAAGGAGAAAAATTTCCAACCAAGAATTATGTACCCAGCAAAACTGTCCTTCAAATATGACATTTCCAGATAATCAGAAATTAAGGGAATTTGTTAAAACCAGACCAACCTTACAAGAGATGCTAAAGGGAGTCCTTTGGACAGAGAAGAAACAACAGCCAACAACTGACCATTAACATACATGATGATATAACCCAGAAACCAACGCAGTTATGGAAGTATCCAAAGTAAATAAGCCTACAAGATTGAAAACAGGGAACCAGAGACATCAATTGACAAATGAGGACAACTACAAACCAAAAAGAGGTAAAGAACTGTGTCATTGCAGAACCTCTAGATGGTAGGGAAGTCAAGACAAATTCCAAGATAGAACGGAGTGTTCGAAACTTGGGAAGAAAACTATAAACCACAGGGTAACCTCAAAGAAAAATGATAAAACTTCACATCAAAAAAGAAGACCAGCATAAATATTCAGCAAATACTAAAACAATAGCAATGAAGAAAGTGATAACACAATTCATAAACCAAACGAGCTCAGCATAGAAAATTATATGGAACAAAGAAATCAACACCACAAAAAGCACATAACAAAAATGACAGCAACAAATTCATATTTGCTGATAATTACATATCTGGCAAGGGACTTATCTCTAAGATTGATAGCAGAAGAGTGGATGACCAAACAATGGTACATACACATAATGGAATGCTATGCAGTACTAAAGAATAATGTAGAGTCTGCAATACATCACAATATATGGATGAACTTGCCAGACATTATGCTGAGTGAAATAAGTCAATCACAGAAGGACAAATATAGTATTAGTTTGTTGTTGTGGAGGGTCAAAGAAAGGTTTATATATGAAGGGAAACTTTCTTTGTTGGTTTCCAGGGGTGGGAGGGGAGGGGGGAACACTGCAAAAAAAAAAAAAAAATGCATTGACACATGTCACTTTAGTTTTGTGTATTTCACTGTACATAAATTATATTTCAATAAAATGCATTTAAAAAATCATGAAATATGTGTATGTGTTTAAAATAATTCTTGATGACTTACAATAGGGCAGGACTCATGTGACCACTCTCTAATGTCTGTGTTTATCTGCAAATGAACAGGTTTCTGCCTATGGGCTCTACCACCTATGACCATTAAAATTCAATAATTGTTTTTGAGTAATGCAATTGTTTCTCCCTCATCCAGTCACTTCACCAGTCAGTTGCAACTATGGGGCAGGCGGAAAAGGGCAAGAAGTAATCAGAAAGAAAATTAAACTTTCTTATACTTACAGTTTGTGTAGATGGGTTTTCGAAATGGCTTTCCCTTAGAAAAGATAAATGCGACAGTGATACAGTTGATGGTGGTGATGGGCCACAATGTGGTGCTCTCAAAACTTAAAATTGAACCAGGAGTCAGAGTTGCATTTCCAGTATTTCTTTCCAAACTCACATTTGTTGAGAAATTACCTTGGTTGGCCAGAAAACACTCACTGCAAAAGAATTACCAGCTCTTATGAGACTTTTTAGTCCATTTTTATTCAATTGGTGAAAAAAAAAAAAAAAAAAGTTAATCACTACCATGAGACCTCCACTTTCAAACAGTTCCAGCCATTAACTCCCAAGATGTATTTTGAACACCTCTTGCAATGAAAAGCGAAAATGAAATTCAGGGGAAGTCAAGATTGTGCTTTGTCCAGCAACTCATTTAGGACAAGTGATCCATCTCAAAAGGGATTGGATGACAATTTTCTGTGGAGTTCCTTTCATTTCAAAGAGTAAATTAACTGTGTGTGTGTGTAGTGTGTTTCTCTTTCACACAAGTCTCCTAATTTGAGTCCCCATTATAATAAGTTCTCCTTACACAGCTAAAGGGTCTTCTGAAAGATCTAAACATGATACTTTCCTGCTTAGGAAGTATGTTCAACTCTATTTTGCCAATACATTACACTAAAACTTCTCAGCCTTGCACAGATGACCCTTCACACTCTGGCCTGAATCTACCTTCCTGGTCTTGGCTCTTGTCGCTCCTCTCATATATCTTACACTTTAAGCATACAAGATTATTCCTGGTTTCACCAAATGTCAACAATTTGCATTCCTACAGAGTTAGACATTCTATCCCCTCTGTCTGCAGTGCTTTGCCTGAAATAATATTCATCCTTCAATTATCACCAGGTCTGAAATGTCTTTGCTTTCACTGACAAGCAGAACTAGCAATTTCTATTATTCTTTCTATAGCCATATAGAGTTTGTTGTTTTTTAATTAATTTACATAGTTTTATTTTCTGACTCTAGGATGTGATTCTGAGTTCCTTAAATGTGGGAATTTTGTTTTTTGTTACAGTCAAATTTACAACAAATTCTTAGCATCTAGCACAGTGAGAACCATGTAATACTTGCTCAGAAAAAATACCTGCTTCAAATATAGGCTTTCCCAGTCCTGACTGAGCTATTTGCAATGTTCATTTTTTTAAAAAATAATAAAACCTACAAATTAGTTTCCCATCAGCTTTCTTGTTCAGCTTGACACCTTAACTGTTAATGCCAAAACTAAACTCATTGCCTTCGAGACAATTCCAACTCATAATGACCCAATAGGACAGAGTAGAACTGCCCACAGGGTTTCCAAGGCTGTAAATCTTAACAGAAGCAGACTGCCATATCTTTCTCCCACATAGCTGTTCATAATGCAATGCACTGCCGTGGAGTCAGATCCAACTCATAGCAACCTCTCCTTGTGTTTCCAAGGTGGTATCACTATGGAAATAGATTGCCCAACCTTCCTTCTGAGGAGTGGCTGGTGGGTTTGAACCACCGGCCTTCTGGTTAGCAGTCAAATGCCTTAGGCACTATGCCACCAGAGCTCCTGTTTATAGAGAAGATTAATTTCCAACTGTGAACTCAAATGCATATCAGTATCAGTATCCTTGGCTCCTTAGGGTCCAGAAATGTACGTTGCATAAAGTAGAAGTTGAGTTAATGTTTTCTGAATAAATTAACGAAGCAGTCAGTAGTCCAAAAACATTCTTGTACAAAGGGAGTAGACAGATGCCTTTATATTCAGATGGCCTGAACTATACACTTTCACACCAAAGAATATCTAGCCCAATGTATTTACATGGAAGATAAGGAATTTGAGGCTAGCTAGTTCAGGGCTCCTCAGAACTTATTTATTGCCCACTGCCCTTTAAGCTACACAGTGTTGTCTCCTAGATTCAATCAGAATTTTATATCTTTGAATATAATCATTACTCTACTCTGGTTTTGAAATGAAAAGGAATTCTATATCTCAAATAATACTTGAATGACTGAATTTTGGATGTAAATGTCAGTCATCATCCAGTAGTTGCCAGTCTGTGTCTCACTGATTTTTGGGACTCTGGGAAAGGAGCTGTGGTGGTGCAGTGCGTAAGCCATCTGACTGCTAAACAGAAGGTTGGCAGTTCAAATCCACCAGCCCCTCTGCAGAAGGAAGGTGGGACAACCTACTTCCGTAAAGATTTACCATCTCAGAAACTCAATGGGGTTCACTATGAGTTAGAATCAACTCAATGGCAGTGAGTTTGCTTTTGGTTTCTGAATGCCTTGAGGGTCTCAATGGAGCAAGGAGGGAATTGTACATGCCCTACTTCAGAAAGAGCAGCTCAGTCCCTGACTTTTTATTTGCAGGGAGAGGGAAAGGGATGGGAGGCTTTGTCAGAAAAAAATAAAGTTTGAACACCTGTATTTCATATCATGTCACCCTTACTTGATAGTTTAAGAAACTGAAGCCCAAGTAGGTGAAAAAACTTGCCTGGAGTTCTATTGATAGAAACAAAGCCAGAATTAGAATTAAGTCTACTGAGTGGACTGCTAGTGTTCCAACTTAATCAACTAACATTTCCATTTTAGCATCTATTTTTTTTTTAATCTCAAACTAGTTTAAATAAATATCTCTTGGTATACCTCTATATTGGAAGCTCTGGTGGCATAGTGCCTAAGGCATTTGACTGCTAACCAGAAGGTTGGCAGTTCAAACCCACCTGCCACTCCTTGGAAGGATGATTGGGCAATCTACTTCCATAGAGATACCGCCTCAGAAACCCAAGGAGTGATCACTATGAGTCGAATCGACTCAACGGCAGTGAGTATTTGTGTGTGTGTGTGTTATACCTCTATCAGCAAACCATCCCTCAGGCCAAATCTAACCTGTTTTGGTGAATAAAGTTTTATTGGAACACAGCCACACCCATCTGTTTCCATATTATCTAGCTACTTTTGTGCTAAAACAGCAGAATCAAGTGGTTACAACAGAGGGCATCTAGCCCTCAAAGCCTGAGATATTTACTATCTGACCCTCTATGGAAAAAGAGTCAGTCTTTTTCCTCAGTCATATGAATGCCCAAACCACCAGAGAAATAATACATTCAGTCACAACCACCAGTTAGATCTAGTCTTCAAACAACCAATGTGACAGATCTCTCTTCCAGCTCACTTTACCCGGCTTACACCAGCCCTCCACCTATTAATTGTGTTCTGTGTCCTATCCTATCATTTGATTTTTTTGCAGTGTGGAGACAAAATTTATCATATTGCTAATTAAAATTTTAGGATATTTGTTCAAACCAAGTTGTACCATTATCTCTGAGAGGAAAACCAAGAAACTGAACTTTACCTGTATCTGTAGACCTCACAATACCAGGGCTGCTGCTTCACAAAGAGAAATGCACTGATCTGCACGATGCAGGTGAAGCAGGAATTCAAAAAGACTGAGAGCAGCAAAGGGGGAGAGAGGAGCTGTCCTGCTGGTCTATACGGAGCCAGCGTAGGGTAGGCATGCGTTGAACTCACTGAAAGACAAATGCATTGTTTCCTGTTACAGTTTCACCAATGAGAATAAAAAACTAAGATGCATATTATCTTGAGTCTTACCATAGGGTTTAGAATTAGCTGGCAAGAATTGAGGGTTCACACCTAGGTGAGCATATTACTTAGTTACATATCCAAGTCTACCAGCCTTTGTCTATTTTTTGCTTTTTTTTTTTTTTCATCTTGAGAAAAGAAAGTAGTGGGTTCAAAAGTTCTGATTACTAAATTTATCATATTGCAGCCACTCCTTGGAAGGAAGATGAGGCAATCTACTACCGTAGTGATACTGCCTCGAAAACCCAAAGAGGGTGGCTATGAGTCAGCAGTGAGTTTTTTTATTTTTTTATTTTTTTATAATAGATTAAATTATTGGTCCCATAGACTGACTGTACTTTACCTCTCTTAATTTTGACTTGCTCTGGCCAAAGAGATGTTAGCAGAGGTCTGAAGCATGTGTGCATGGCTGGGTTTGCTCTCTTGCTCCCCTGTGATTGTCAATGCTCTGGATTTTGCCCATTCAGCCTGGGCCCCAGAATAAAATGTGAATCAGACCTAAATCAAATCTACATCCTGGGCCCAGACTAACTGACTATACCCTAAAGCAGAGCTTCTCAATTGAGTCCACCTACATCAGCTGAACCACAGTGAACCTATAGAGCCATGAGTGGGAAAACAAATGCTTGATGCTGTAAGCCATTGAGCTTTGAGGGTGGTTTTTTATACAGCATTATTGTAACAATAGTTGGTTGATCAGTGTGCAAGTGGAGGTATTATTTCAAATTTTTCCGTATTGTTAACTTTTAGCCGCCACTGAGTTGGTCCCTGACTCATGATGACCCCGTGCAATGGAACAAAATGCTGCCCAGTTCTGTGCCATGCCCATGATTGGTTGTGGATTGTATCATTGTGATCCATAGAGTTTTCATTGGCTGATTTCATCCACTAAAACCTGTTCAGCATCATTGCAACACATAACATCCACTGACAGATGGTGAATTGGCAATATTTTCTGACAGGGAGTCTATATACTTGACTATAAATATAAATAAAATAATAACTACCATTCTGGGGTAACTACAAGGTTCCAAAGGCTGTGCTAAGTATTTTATAAATATTATCTTTGTTTCTTTGAAAAGCAGTTCAAAATAGGTGTTGGTATTATATCTCCTGTTTCATAGGTAAAGAAACTGAGGCTCAGAGAAATAGAGTCCTTTTTCCAAGGACCCACAGCTATTGAGTGACAGGATGGTGATGTTAACTCAAGTCTGTCCAATTACAAACTCCCATGTTCTCTGTACCATGGCATATTACTGTGTGATGGATCCCATAAATTAAATAGTAAAACAAGGAGTGTTGAAATACAAGCTTGGATAGTACTATTCATCAGTAGCCAGAAGAACTTTCTTGGATTATCCAGGTTTTCTTAAATGATGATGATATCTGCTATAAGCTTGCATGCAGAGGAATGCAAATTTTTGAAGTATTATATTTTATTCAGAATGAATTATCCTTTTCTCTGAGTTCCCACAGCACACTGTTCATATTGTTGCTGTAGTGCAGGGTGTCTTGCACTAAATCTAGCTGTTTACACATACACTCAGCAGAAAGTGAGTATTTTGAGGGAAGAAACCCTGCCTCATTCCACTTTTTGTCCCTTACTGAGCCTAGCACAGGACCTGCTGTGTAGGTGTACTTAGCAGTTTCAAATTCTATTGCAAAGATTAAGTTTTAATTGCTCAGTGTCATTTGGATATAATTAGTAGTGCTTCTCCCTAGAAGGTGATTTACTTTATATTATGTAAGTCAAGTTTTAAGAAATTATATGCAAAACTTTGGGTGTGTATCATGAGATTTCTAAAGTGGAAAGATCTGTATCTTCCATCTAATTCTCAAAAGAAACTAAAACCCAAAAGAAGTTAGGAGTCACTGAAGCACTGACGGATTTTATGTAAAATATGTATTTATATAAAGGACAAATTCCCTCCCACAGTTGCCTTTTCTGGAAATGCCTCCTCCCCTGTGCTGCAGTAGTTGGCCTAAACGGATCTGGATTTACATGACCCCAGCATCTTACCCAAATTGAGTCAGTACATTTTCTCTTCAAAAGATGTGTAATTGGGACACTGAGAGAATGAAGTAATTAGCTGTGAATGTGAACAGAAAGGTCATGGAAACTCAGGCCACTATTTGCAAGGGGAATAAATAGAAGAGTTGAGATGAAAATAGTAAGAATGGAGAGAAGAAAGCAAAGAGGCAGCCTCTATTTTTGATCTTTTAGTGTTCTAGCCTCAGAAGAAAGTCATGACAATATACCTTAGAAAGATTACAGCCTTTGAAAACCCTATGGAGTGCAGTTCTACTTTGAAACACATGGGTTTGCACAAAGAATCAACTTGATGGCAGTTGGTTTGGATTTTTGGTATTGTTTTCACCCTCCTCAGCCCAAGTGCTTCAGAGTTCCTGTTCTTGGACTTGGTTGAGCATTATATCCTCAACAGCTCCGCTCACCCTCTTCTTTGATTTAGCTTAAGTGAGTCTCACTGAAGAGAATAGAAAAAAGGCTAGAACAAAGCCACTCCAAGATGGTAGTTATACAGATTAGAGTCAAATTTGCAGGCCACTTTTAATAGTTACTTGATTCCAAAGTATTCATTTTCCAAATTGATTTCCCTTCTAATTTCATCTGACTTTTCCTCTTGATTTTCTCTTTAATGTCTTATGTCTTGTCTTATTACCTTTGTATGTTACCTTAAGATCTTTTTGAAACTAAGGTGGTTATGTACAAATAAGCAAGTAAATCAATTAATTAAATATCTGTCTTTTCTCTTTACTAATTTAGGATTAAGGCAGAAAGACTTAATAGGGAAACCTGGACATGTAGGTGGCTTGGTGAGAATAATTTGACATTGGCTGTCCAATCATCAGTGACTCCTAACAGCTGCAGGTGAATGTCCACAGTTCTCAGCCTGGCAATCAAGATTCTCTGTAATCTGGCCCAACTCACCTTTTCAACTTCTATCTCCCACTGTTTCTTTTCAAATACCCTATAGTGGAGTTAAATTGAAAAGCCCATACCCTGTGTTTATCATCTCTCTCTTGCTCATGCTGCTTTCTTCTACTTGAAGTGCCCTTATTTTAGCAACAGATATTTGAAATCTATCCACCCTTCCTATTTGGGTGCAAATTCTGGTTCTTTCATGAAGCCATCCCTAGTATCTCTCTCCTTTCTCCATTGCTATCTTTCTCATCATCCCTCATTGTCTGAAACAATCTTCCCTTTCTCTGAACTCCAAAAGCATCTGTTTATTTCTGGCACTTTTACTAATTTCAATTTGTATCATGTTCATTCATGTATGTGAAAAATAAACAAACAAGAAAAAAACAAAAAACCTTTGCCCTTGAGTTAATTCTGACTCATGGAGATCCCATGAGCATCAGAGTAGAGCTGTGCTCCTTATGGTTTTCAATGGCTAATTTTTTTTGGAAAGGCGAATTTCCCACTAAACTCTAAACTTCAGCAAACAGCATTTTTATGCCCTATACATGTTTCTGAAGAGAAACATATGTGTAAGAATGTTGAATGGATTATTTCTTGTTGTCTAGGGGATTTTGCTAAGTCTCATATTTGAAAACAATGAGTGGTAAGAGGTGATTCAGTGTAAAGAGAGATGACACCCACATCTCCACAGACCCTACTAACAGGGATCTATACATGTCCTTCAAATGTAAGAACCATTCCCTCACCAATTACCTTCTTAGGTATGGAAAGACTATTTAAGAGGCCAGACAGATTATCAAGAGATTTTTTTGAAGAGAAATCTTTAGAGCAGTAAAAACTGTAGTTTTCTCCCATATCACCCCAAGTAAAGTGAGGGGAGGTCTTAAGAACACCCTATGGTAGACTGGAGGAGCTCTGGTAGCATAGTGCCTAATGCACTTGACTGCTCACCAGAAGGCTGGCAGTTCAAACCCACCAGCCACTCCACTCCTCGGAAGGAAGATTGGGCAATCCTACTTCCGTAGTGATACTGCCTCAGAAACCCAAGGAGGGGTCGCTATGAGTCAGGGCTGACTCGACGGCAAACAACAACAACAACAACATGGTAGACTGGAAGTGCTTTTGAGATGGGAGATTAACTTCACTGTTGCAATAGCAGAAGAGAGAGGAATAGGGCATAATAAGAGCAGGCACAGGTGGCGTAGTGCCTAAGGCATCTGACTGCTAACTGGAAGGCTGGAGGTTCAAACTCACTAGCCAGTTCTTGGAAGGAAGATGGGGCAATCTACTTCTGTAGTGATACCACCTCAGAAACCCAAGGAGGAGTTGTTATGAGTTGGAAACGACTTGAAAGAAGTGGGTTTATTTTGTTTTGGACACATCTATTATCTGCTGGGTCACGTATGACAATTAGCCAGGCTAGCCCTTTTTAGAAGGAATGTGACCAATAAGGGCAGCCTGCCCAGAAGGACCAGCAGAAGGAAAAGGCTATGTGGTAAATATCATTATAGCACAGGTGCTGAAAGGAATCCTGAAAGGTCAGTAGGAGAAAGCACCAACCATGCCCAGGAGTGGTGTAGTCCAGACAAACCCACAGGGAATCTCAAAAGAACTTAGGGACCCACTAGTGAACCCCGTACAAATTGCCTGGATTTGGATACCTGCCAAGTTAGAGCACATTAGACAGGCAGGAGAGGACTGTAATAGCATCACTTAAGTAAAAAGCCTTTGTTTTTGTTGCTCTCCTGCTCCAGAAGCAAGGACTAAGAGTAAGTAATGCAAGGAGAGGAAAGAAGAAACCATAGCCTTCCCTTCCACTGCTTGTTCCAAGCCCTAGGTCAGGAAGGAGGAAAGTTTTTAATTGGATTAAAGCATTAAATGTTGATTTAGAATAATTGGACTTTTTATATTTAAGAAAGAGATCATTTCAAAACTGAAATTGACCAGAAAATGATCTGGCTTTGGGCTCAATGCAGTTGCAGGATGGGAAATCAACTGAATGTGTTTGAAGAGAGCTTTTTTGAAAAAAAAAAAAAAAAAGAAGAAGAAGAAGAAGAAGAAAGAAAGAAAAAGAAAAGCTGTTTTCTGATTCTACCCTCACTTTTACCGGTCTAACCTGAGTTCAGCTCATTTACTGAATCAGCTACACATTTGTTGAATAATAATTTGATTAAGGGCTGGCATTCCAATGGGATGTTGTGCTTCTGATCTATTAACCTGCTGAGGCTGTTTTCTAGTGACAGTGATGATCTGTGCCGAGTCATCTCAACTCCCGCTGAGCTCACTCAGATGAGAGGTGGAGTTTTACAGAATGACCAGCTGGCATGAAGATCAACAGGCTATTGCCATAGGAAAGAATAAAATGGACACACACCATGCTAATTCCATAACCAATATTATGGAATCAAATGTGTAAAAAGCTGAAAATAATTTGCTCAAGATCATGTAGCAATTGTGACAGAAGGCTAAAACTACCCATGTTTTTGGATTCCTAATCAAATAATGTACCTGTTCATACTCTTGCCAAAGGCTCACGGAGTAAACTTAGTTGTCTCAAGAGAAGAAGAGGGAGGTAAAAGCATGAGAACTTTCAAATTATGAGTGCGCACTATGTACCATGTACGATGTATCTGATCCTCACAACAATCCTACGAAGAAATTTCATATTAAGAAAATATTTGTTTCATCAATAATTTGCCAGTGGTCCCAGAGTTAGGAAGTGGCAGAGGAGGATATATGGACTTGACTTCCATACTATCTGTTAGTTTATCTCTTGGATACTTCTGGTGTTTGTTTCCTTTTTAACATTATTGAACATGTTCACAAGTAAGTCATGTAACTTGCCTATAAGTAGTCAACACTGCAGAAACAATATGCTCTTTTGTTGTTAAGTGTTGTTAAGTCAGTTTCAACTCATTTGCAACCCTACATACAACAGAACAAAACACTGCCCAGTCTTGCACCATCCTCACAATTTTTGCTATATTTGAGCCCATTATTGCAGCCACTGTATCAATTCATCTCTTTGATTGTTGTTCCGTTCTTCACTGACCCTCTACTTTACCAAGCATGATATCCTTCTCCAGGAACTGGTCCCTCCTGATAACATGTCCAAAGTACACAAGACAAATATTGCTTCTGAAGAACATTCTTAGAACAATATCATCAATTCAAAATTGATGATATCCAATCATGTGGATATTAATAATAAGTAGGAAAAAGTATTTAAATTGGTTAAACAGGAGCCCTGGTGGTTCACTGGGTAAGCACTCAGCTGCTAACAAAAAGGTTTGAGGTTTGAACTCATCAGTTGCTTCACAGGAGAAAGATGTGGCAGTCTGCTTCCATAAAGATCTACAGCCTTGGAAACCCCATGGGGTAGTTCCACTCTATCTTGTGGAGTCATTATGAGTCAGAATCAACTCAATGACAATGGATTTTTTTTTTTTATTTTGGTATGAAGAGACATTTCTACCCTAACAAAAAAATTGATATTATCTATATATCTGACTGATCCTGGTGAAGGTCAAAATTGGGACAATATTATAAGTGACTTCAATATCAGTTTCATGTTTTAAGATGCTACATGAATTTCCCAAGGTTATTTAATGCTGCATTTCTTGATGTTTTATCTGTTATTTTTCCCAACACACACACTGTTGCACAAGGAAAAAGAAAGGATGATGTCATTCCTTTTCTTTACTCTCTGTTGAGACAATCACCCCCTTTCACTTATTAAGAGTTAGTATCAAGCCCTGAGTTCCTTGGCAGAGAATACTTTATCAGTGTCATCTCAAAGGGAGGAAATGAGCAATAGCTGCTGTAACCCACATCTTGCTTTTGAGAGAATCCCACTAGAATAAAATGCCAGCATTTGTTCTCATACATCAAATACCTAGCAAAAATCTGGTTTCACATCAATATGAAGCATAGCCGAATAATGAGAAATGACCTTTTGGTTTGAAAATTTCCCTTAATTTTTTTTTTTTTTTTAAATCCAACACAAACCTACAAGAACTCAAACTGCATTGACAATCTTAGGAGGCTAAGACCTCTTTGCTATCAGGATATTTTAATGCCAAGTCTGGGGCCTTCCAGCCTCAACTCACCCAATACCACTTTCAAAAAATTCATGTATAATCAAGCTTTAGACATGAAAATACATCTTTCTCAGAAGGTCTTATTTTTGTGTTTCTAGAGTTTTATGGATAATTACAAATAATAGTTTACTTTGCTAACCAGCTTACTTGTTAAGCAGACCATCAGCGTAATGGCTACATCTTGCATGAGATATTGGTAATTTCCAAAGAGTTGCAGTTGCTGAAAAGAAAAGAAAAGTGAATGAAAGTGTAGTTTTCTTCTATAGTAGCATTTTTAATGGGAGCTCTGGTAGCATAGTGGCTAAGACACTAGCCTGCTAACCAGACGGCTGGTGGTTCAAACCCACCAGCCACTCCTCGGAAGGAAGGTTGGGCAATCCTACTTCCGTAGTGATACTGCCTCAGAAACCCAAGGAGGGGTCGCTATGAGTCGGGGCCGACTCGACGGCACATAACAACAACAACAACAGCATTTTTAATAGTATAACACTTTTTATTTTTTCTCTTTTAAGTAGACTGGAAACAACTGTTATTTTTCTCTGTTCTTTATGAACACGTCAATGACTTACCCAAGATCATTAGCAATTCAGTGTATGGAATGAAATCAGATTACTATTTTCTCAGTGTTTAACTTAATTCCATATAAGAAAAAAGAGTCAGGTGGAGGAAGTGGTAGGAGAGCAGTTACACAGTGGGGAATATAATCAATGTCACAAATAAAATGTGTATGAACTATTGAACGTAAAATGAATGTCCTTTGTAAAATTCCACCCAAATGACAATAAACATTTAAAAAAAAAAAAGTGAGTGGTGGTGGTGGTGGTGGTGGTGGTAGAATCGGTTGGAAATGCCCTCCAATTGAAACAGTAATTCTAGCTGCCTTGACAGCTGAACTCTCATTGTAAGGTACCAAAGTTGCCAGAATTTGAAGTCAATCTTCAAATCATTCAACCAGTGCTGTTTGCCATCCTCATCTATGGGTTGCATTCAGTCCACTTGGAGGCCATTCACCTTCACAAACTGAAAAAGTGACCTTAAAGTAAGTGAGCTTATTGCAGACTTCAGTCTGGTACCATTTCTAAGGTGCCTGTAGACATAGAATTGTTTTAAGTTCACATTTATGGAGTTGAAGTATTTGTATATAAAAGACAAACTGTTACTCATCAGGAACTTGTCCTGCAATATCTTTTGCAGCCAGATCCATTTATCTGCTTCATAGCTATTGACTGAATAAATTATAATCTGGTACCGAGCATACTAAAGACCACATTTATACACATTAAAAAAAAAAAAAAAAAACTAGAGGAAAGACATTAGAGTGAATAATTTCAATTTAGACTATGGTTCCAGCACCATCCATGGTGAATTTAGAACTGAAATTCTGCTTTCATATTATGGAGAGGTTGCAAATGGCCCCACAGTGCTCCTATTGTTGTTGTTGTCAGGTTCATTTAAGTTGGCTCCAACTCATAGTGACCCTGTGTACAATAGAACAAAACACTGCCTGGTCCTGTGTCAGCCTCACAAGCCTTGCTATATTTGAGCCCATTGTTGCAGCCACTGTGTCAATCCATCTTGTTAAGGGTCTTCCCCTTTTTCAATGACCCTCCACTTTACCAGGCATAGATGGTATCCTTCTCCAGGGAATGGGCCTTTCTGACAACATGACCAAAGAAGGTGAGACAAAATCTGGCCATTCTTGCCTCCAAGGAGCATTCTAGCTGCACTTCTTCTAGGACAGTATTCTTCTAGCAGTCCACGGTATTTTCAGTATTTTTCATCAACACCATAATTGAAAGGCATCAACTCTTCTTTGGTCTTCCTTGTTCGTTGTTGTCCAGCTTTCACATGCATATGAGGCAATGGAAAACATAGCTTTGTTTAGGCACACTTTAGTCTTTTTGCTCTTCAGCACTTTTTAAAGAGGTCTTTTGCAGCAGACTTGCCTAATGCAATACGATGTCTGATTCCTTGACTTCTGCTTCCATTAGTGTTGCTTGTGGAGCCAGGTAAAATGAAATATTTAATAGATTCAATCTTTTCTCTATATATTGTGATGCTGCTTATTGGTCCAGTTGTGAGGATTTTTGTTTTCTTTATGTTGAGGTGTAATCCATACTGAACTGTAGTCTGTGATCTTCCTCAGTAACTGCTTCAAGCCTTCTTCACTTTCAGCAAGTAAGATTGTCTGCATATTGTAGTTTGTTAATGAGTCTCCCTCTAATCCTGATGTTGCATTCTTGTACATACAGTACAGCTTTGGATTATTTGCTCAGCAAAAAGATTGAATAAGTATAGTGAAAGGATACAACCCTGACCCACACCCATTCTAATTATAAACCATGTAGTATCCCCTTGTTCTGTTCAAACAACACTTTCTTGATCTATGTACAGGTTTCTCATGAGCATAATTAAGTGTTCTGGAATCCCCATTCTTTGTAATGTTGCCCGTAATTTGTTATGATCCACACGAATGTCTTTATATAGTCAATAAAACACAACCAAACATCTTTCTGGTATTCTTTGCTTTCAACCAAGATCCATCTGACATCCACAATGATATCCCTTCTTCCATATTCTCTTTTGAATCCAGCTTGCATTTCTGGCAGTTCCCTGTCATATACTGCTGCAAACATTTTTTAAATTATCTTCAGCAAGATTTACTTGTGTGTGGTATTAGTGGTATTGTTTGATAATTTCCACATTCTATTGGATCACTTTTCTTTGGAATGGGCACAAATATTGATCACTTCCAGTCAATTGGCTGTATTCAAACTATTTGTGATAAATGAGCAAGTGCCTCCAGCACTGCACTGATTTGTTGAAACATCTCAATGGGTATTCCATCAATTCCTGGAGCTTTGTATTTCGCCAATTCCTTCAGTGCAGCTTCGATTTCTTCCTTCATTACCATTAGTTATTGATTATATGCCACTTCCTGGAATAGTTGGACACTGATCAATTCATTTTTGTCAATGACTCTGTGCATTGCTTCTACCTATTTTTGATGCTTTCTGTATCATTCAATATTTTGCCCATAGAATCCTTCAATGTTATGTTTATATATTGGAGGACATTTTCTTTGTTGGTTACCAGGGGTGGGAGGGAAGGGGAGGGAATGCTGTTAGATAGATAGAGATAAATATTGATTTGGGTGAAGAGAAGGGCAATGTACCAAATGTGAGTGACCAATATGGCAGCATTGAGGATGAGAAAGACAGAGAGAGTTACATGGGCAGTACAAACAACAAATATGAACCCCTTTGTAAATACAATACTGAGTTGTTAATGAAAACAAACATGGGTATAGGGACGGGTAGATGGGTGAACAAGCTAAACAATTATGTATGTCTAAATGGAGAGTGTATCCAAGATCATATACAGGGTTGGCAGACAATGGGCCTCTCGAAGAGTATGAAGGGATGGACACTGGGAGGAGGTAACTATGGGGAGGAAGTGGGAGGGGAGCTGCTGCATTGTAAATTTTGGTCAATGACATGAGACAAAGTATATGTGAACTGCTGTATGAAAAGTGAATTTACTCTGTAAATCTTCACCCAAATCCTAAAAAAAAAAAAAGAATCCTTCAATGTTGCAACTCAAAGCTTGAATTTTTCCTTCAGTTTTTCATCTTGAGAAATGCTGAGTGTATTCATCCCTTTTGGTTTTCTAACTCCAGGTCTTTGCACATTTCATTATAGTAATTGGCTTTGTCTGCTCCAGCTGTTGTTTGAAATCTTCTGTTCAGATTGTTTATCTTGTCATTTATTCCATTTGCTTAGCTACTCTCTGTTCAAGAGCAAGTTTCAGAATCTCTTGTGATATACATTTTGGTCTTTTCTTCCTTGTCTTTTAGTGACCTTCTGCTTTCTTCAAGTGTGATGTTCTCAATGTCATACCACAACTCATCTGGTTTTTGGTCATTGGTGTTCAATATGTCAAATCTATTCTTCAGATGGTCTCTAAATTCAGGTGAGATATAATCAAAACCATATTTTGACTCCCATGGACTTGTTTTAATTGTCTCCAGCTTCAACTTGGATTTGCACATGAGCAGTTGATGATCTGTTCCACAGTCAGATCCTGGCTTTGTTTTGACTGAAGACGTTGAGCTTATCATTGTTTCTTTCCACAGATGTAGTTGATCTGATTCCTGTGTATTCTATCTGGCAAGGTCCACTTGTATAGTCACCATTTATATTTTTGAAAACAGATATTTGCAGTAAATAAGTTGTTGGCCTAGCAAAATTCTATCATGTGATCTCTGGCATTATTTCTATCACCAAAGCCATATTTTCCAACTGCCAATGATTCTTCTTTGTTTCTAACTTTCACATTCCAATTGCCAGTAATAATTAAGACATTGTGATTGCATGTTTGGTCAGTTTCAGGCTGCAGAATTTGGAAAAACTCTTCAATTTCCTCATCTTTGGCTTTTAGTGGTTGGTGTGTAAATTTGAATAATTGTAATATTAGTTGGTCTCCCTTGTATAAGAATGGATATCAGCCTATCACTGATAGCATTGTACTTCAGGATAGATCTTGAAACATTTTTTGTGATGATGAATGTTATGCTATTCCTCTTCAATTTGGCATTCCTACCATAGTAGACCATGTGATTGTCTGATTCAAAACAGCCAAAACCAGGCCATTTTATCTCACTAATACCAGCCACTCCTCAGAAGGAAGGTTGGACAATCTACTTCTGTAGTGATACTGTCTCGGAAACCCAAGGAGAGGTCGCTATGAGTCGGGTCCTACTCAAGGGCACATAACAGCAACAACAATGCCTAGGATATCAAACTTTATGTCTTCCACTTCATTTTTTATAACTTCCAATTTTCCTAGATTCATACTCTGTGCATTCCATATTCTGATTACTAGTGGATATCTGCAACTGTTTCTTTCCATTTTGAATCATGCCCTATCCACAAATGGAGGTTCCAAAAGCTTTACTCCATCCACATCATTAAGATCAACTCTATTTTGAGGAAGCAGCTTTTCTCCAGTCATATTTTGAGTGCCTTTCAACCTGAGTGGCTTTTTTTCCAGCACTATATCAGACAGTGTTTCAGGGATATTCTTAAAGTTTTCCAGTAATATGTCAGATAGCATTTCACTGCTATTCACAAGGTTTTCACTGGCCAAGATTTTCAGAAGTAGATGGTTCCACCCTTCCTGGTCTGTCTTAGTCTGGAAGCTCTGCTGAAACCTGTCCACCAAGGGTGACCTTGCAGGTATTTCAAACACCAGTGTTATAGCCTCCAGCCTCATAGCAACACACATGACACCAAAGTATGACAAACTGACAGATGAATGGTGGCAGTGACAGTGTTCTTATCATCTTCTAATTCTTTCTTTTATTCTTTTCCTTCAGAGTAGTAAAACTATATCTAGCTATCTAGATAGCTATGTAACTACCTATGTACATATAGGGTGAGATAGGGCAAGAAGTTTTCAAGGACAGCTTTAATTTTCATTTTAGGCACAATTCTCACAGAATATGAAGGGCTCTAAAAACCAACCAACCCAGCTTCTCAGAGGTAGGTAAAGGCTTGGCCAAGGGCAAGACGTAGCTTGTTCTATTGGTGGATGTAGAACTTGAACCCAGCTATCCAGTTTCCCACTCCAATTCTTGTTTCACTCCACTAGGTGCTACTTCATCCCTCTGTGTGACAGTCTTGTAAGCAATAGCCCACCAGATGTTGGAGTCCTATGGTCCTCTTCATTCATGGCTCAATCTCCTAGGAAGGCATTAAATTAATTCCCTTCCTAGGGTGTTCCCTGAACTTGCTGGATCCTTTTACTGGAGAACAAGTTATTACTGGATTAACAAAGACTGTTGGCAATCTATACATATTTCTTTCACACAGAAAATTAATTCTTAACGACTATTATTACCATTGTTTAATTTTAAGTCAATTTTTTGAGAATTGTTCATCTTTTTTTTTTTTTTTTAAGAATTGCTAATCCTTTACTAATGACAGCTCTAAGTTTTAAGGTCTAGTAGGTTCAGAGGTAAAGTTACTGTATTGGATTTTTTTTTTTTTTTTTTTTGGTCTGGCTTTCTGGTCCTTCAAAGATAACTTCAGCCATTTTCTTCCTTTTATCTCTCCTTAATCTTTCTTTTGCCAAAAATATTCCACAGTTGAAGACTGAGCCATTTCCTGATTAATTATATTTAGGTTGCTCCAAAGCTCTCGTCATTCTCCAAAAGAAGAAATAGAAGCTTGGAGAGGTCAAGCATCTCAAGTAAGCTAATGAAGAGCAACACTCTTAGAAAACTGACCCATATCTACTTATTTCAAGTCCCATGTTTTATCCACAGTTATACCAGGTGCCCAAGTTTAAGACAACTATTTTGAGAAATGTCATTTATTTATAAAGAACTCTTGTGGTGTAGTGGTTGAAGCATATGGCTGTTAACAGAAAAGTTGGCAGTTTGAACCCACCAGTTATTCCATGGAAGAAAGATGAGGCAGTCTGCTTCCATAAAAATTCACAACTTTGGAAACCCTATGGGGCAGTTCTACTCTGTCCTAAAGTGTTGCTATGGATCAGAATTGACTTGATGGCAGTGGGTTTGGTTTTGGTTATAACAGTTCCCCAAATTTAAGACATCTATGTTGAGAAATTCATTTATTTACAAAATATTAAATCTTGTGTAAACCAAGAAACTAAATGCAATTAGAACTAGGAAGAAACAATTTTGGTTCTTACCCAATAGAGCAATGATGTACCAATAAACTGAATTATGCCATACATAGTCAAGTACTTAAATACCCCAAAGGATGAAACCAAAGCAGCTCGGCCTTCTCTGTTTAAGAAAAAGAAAGAAAGAATAATTGGTTATGTAAGATTCACTTCTCTAAGTTTTTTTTTATATTTTGAAAGGAATTTGATTTTAAATACCCTGTTGATATTCATTCACTTGATGCCACCTCAGAAACCCAAGGAGAGGACACTATGAGTCAGGGCTGACTCGACAAGCACATAACAACAACAACAACAATCATTCACTCATCCTCTCAATTTTGTATTTAACCATTCATTCATTAATTCATTTCTTCTTTCCTTCAACAATCCCCTTACTCAATGATTCATTCACTTACTTTTATCCAGGGGATACAAGTTACCAGGGTTATGCTAAGAATCACATGGGATATTTACTTTCAACAATCTTTCAGTGAAGTTATAAGATCACACATGTACACTATAAGCACAATACAACATCATAAGATATAAAATGTTACATACTGGCTTGATCATAGCTCATTACATCTTAGCAACAGATGCCTCCTGAGAATTGCACTGTGTGGTGCTTTAGAACCCCTTGTAAACAAAAAACTAAAGCACTGGTATGCTCATATTTTAGGAAGTGTAACTACAACTCTAATACTTGAGATGAAATGGGCTTTGTGGGCCTCTATACTCCAGGAGGACCCAAAGTAACAATCTGAGTTGAAGTGAATATCAAAAGAGGGAAAATTTATAGTAAAAACTTAAGTTATAATGCAGTTATTCCCCCCTTTATAAAAATTCCACTTGAGTTCATTTTCCTTTAATTGAGGCTTGGTTGGGTGGTAGATTTAGACAGGTCAAAAAAGACAATGTGTAGTAGTGGCAGGAAGCAGGAAGCCAGGGTGGGTGGCCAGATGCAGGTAAGGGGGGAGAGAGCTCTGACCCAGGCAGAACGTGGGAAACCAGGGTAGATGGCGGGAACATGTAGGAGGAAGGCTGAGAAGTGGGCAGAGCAGTTCTGGAACAGCTAAAGGAGATGAACTTATCTGTCAGTGTGTCATAGTGTGGTGGCTTGTGTGTTGTTATGAGGTTAGAGGCTGTGCCACTTATGTTTCAAATGCTGGTAGGGTTGCCAATGGTGGACGGGTTTCAGTGGAGCTTCCAGACTGAGACAGACTTAGAAGAAGGACGAGGCCATCCACTTCTCAAAGAATTGGCCAGGGAAAACCTTATGAATAGCAGTGAAACACTCTCTGATATATTACTGAACAACTTTATGAATAGCCCTGAAACATTGCCCTATACAGTACTGGAAGATGAGCACCTCAAGTCTGAAGGCACTCAAAATACCACTGGGAAAGAGCTGCTTCATCAGAATAGAAGTGACATTAATGTGGCAGATAAAGTAGAGCTTTCAGGACCTCCATTTGCTGACGTGACATGACTCAAAATGAGAAGAAATAGCTGCAAACATCCATTAATAATCTGAACATGGAATATACAAAGTATGAATCTAGGAAAATTGGAAGTTGTCAAAAATGAAATGGAATGCATAAAGATCAATATCCCAGGCATTAGTGAGCTGAAATGGACTGGTTTTGAAAATTTTGATCCAGACAACCATGTGGTCTACTAAACTGGGTGTAGTGGTTAAGTTTGTGTGTCAACTTGGCTAGGCCTGGTTGAGTGGCTGGGCAACTGGATATAGTATTCCCCATGATGAGACTGGTAATCAACTCCATGGTTGAATCTATTGATGCAGCTGAGTAGCTGCCTTTAGGTATGTGGTCTGCTTCCCATATATATAAAAAAAAAAAAAAAACAGCTTTAGAAATGGTAGCTAGCTTATGGCATGCTTGAACCCTGCATGTAGCTGTGTCATTGTTCAGCAGGCTGCCATGCTCTGCCGACTTTGGGACTTTCAATAGACTTGAATTAATGGCCTGCTCTGTGGTTTGGTAACATCAGGACTGTACCCTTTTATTTGTCAACTTTGGGCTTATTAGTTTCAGCAGCCAGTAGCTGCCTGAGTGAAGAGATGCCTCTAGCTTCAGTGTGCCAGGAGCAAGAAGCACGGCTGAAGCCCAATGCTGAGGGGCTTTCACCCAGCCCATAGAGCCTGGCAATTTGAACTTAGACTTCTAGCATCCCGAACCATAAGAAAATAAACTCCTGATTTTTCAAGCCATCCCATTTGTGGTATAGTCCTGTCAGAGTGACACTAGGTAACCAGAACACTGGGAATGACAAATAGAAGAGGAATTATGTGGCATTCATCATCACAAAAAATGTTTCAAGATCTATTCTGAAGTACAATGCTGTCAGTGATAGGATAATATCCATATGCCTACAAGGAAGACCAGTTAATACCACTATTATTCAAATTTACACACCAAATACCAAAGCTAAAGGTGAGGAAATTGAAGATATTTACCAATTTCTGCAATCTGAAATTGACCAAACATGCAAACAAGATGTGCTGATTATCACCAGTGACTGGAATGCAAAAGTTGGGAACAAAGTAAAATCACCAGTAGTTAGAAAATATGGCCTTGGTGATAGAAATGATGCTGGAAATCACATAATAGAATGTTGCAAGACCAATGACTTACACATGGCAAATATCTTTTTTCAACAAACACAAATGGTGGCTATACACATGGACTTCACCATATGGAGTACACAAGAATCAGATTGACTACATCTGTGGCAAGAGGTGATGGAAAAGCTCAATATTTTCAGCCAAAACAAGGTCAGGAGCTGATTGTGGAACAGACCATCACTGCTCATAAGCAAGTTCAACTTGAAGTTGAAGACAATTAAAAGAAATCCACGAGAGCCAAAATGTGACTTTGATTATATCCCTCTTGAATTTAGAGACCATCTAAAGAATAGATTTGATACATTGAACGCCAATGATGGAAAACCAGAGGAATTATGGGATGGCATCAAGAACATTATACATGAAGACAGCAAAAGGGCATTAAGAGGACAAGAAAGGAAGAAAAGACCAAAATGGATGTCAGAAGAGACTCTGAAATTTGCCCTTGAGTGAAGAGTAGCTAAAGCAAATGGAAGGAATGACAAGATAAAAGAACTGAAGAGAAAATTTCAAAGAGCAGCTTGAGAAGACAAAGTCAGTTATTATAATGAAATGTGCAAAGACCTGGAGTTAGAAAACCAAAAGGGAAGAATATGCTCAGCATTTCTCAACCTGAAAGAACTGGAAAAAAAAATTAGGCCTCAGTTGTAACATTGAAAGATTCTATGGGCAAAATAGTGAATGGTGCAGGAAACATCAAAAGAAGATGGAAGGATTACACAGAGTCACTGTACCAAAAAGAATTGGTAGATCTTCATCCATTTCAGGAGGTGGCCTATGATAAAGAACTGATGATATTGAAGGAAGAAGTTGAAGCTGCACTGAAGGAATTGGGAAAAACAAGGCTCTGGGAATTGATGGAATACCCACTGAGATCTTTCAACAAATGGATGCCATCCTGGAGGCATACACTTGGCTATGCCAAGATATTTGGAAGACAGCTACCTGGCCAACCCATGGAAAGAGATCCATATTTGTACCCATTCCAAAGAAAGGTGTCCCACAGAATGTGGAAATTACAGAGCTCCTAACTAAAATCTTGTTGCTGTTGTTTTTAGGTCCTGTCGAGTTGTTTCCAACTCATAGAGACCCCATGCACAGCACAAGGAAACACTGCCTGATCCCGCGCAAGCTTCACGATCCCTGCTATACCTGAGACCATCATCACAGCCACCTTGTCAATCCATCTCGTTTAAGGGCTTCCCCTCTTTTGTCAACCCTCCACCCTACCAAGCATGA